GCTGTTATTGTCGCTATTTTCGAATGTTTTGAAAGTGGCGACCGGGGAGGTGGCCAAAAATTTTGGGTGGGTGCCCCCGAAATCTCGGCTCCCGTACGGGCCTGTATGTGCAGTCATCTCGGAGCCACTACGCACCTAATGACGTATCATACATAGTGTGAAAACGTTTCCCCTGAGATACTACTGGAACAACCTGACGGAAATTGCATGCAAAGTGTCACACACACACACAAACGCACACACACACTAAATATATATATATATATATATATAACCGCTTCGCGACTTTTCAACCCTGGCCCCGTCTAGGTCCTATGAAAGTATCAACTTCGCATAATTCCTGCCGAGAACTGCACCAAAAATGAAAATCATGCCCCTTCCTCCTTTTTGTAAGCTTTTTATAATCGGATTTGAGTAGGATTTGATTTGAATAATAACATCTCTAGTGTGCAGTCATCTCAAGACCATTGCGCACCTAATAACGTATGATACGTACCTTAAAATCCATCCCCTATCGAGATATCCTCCGGACGGACAGACGGAAATGGAGCAAAGTGGCACACACACACACAAACACTATTTTTTTTCTATATAGTAGGATGTCGAAAATAGGCAATTTTGATAAAGCTGCTATCTTGTCTACTACTGAATCTAATAACTTGACCACTACTGTAGCGATCGGGCTATAACTTAGGATTGTTGTTATTTAGGGTCTGATACACCTCTGGTCCAAATTTGGGGCCGATTGATGTAACACGGCGAATTGCCAGATGAGTCGTTTTTTGGGACACCCTGTAGTAGATATATAAAGGAAATCTAATCCTTGGAAATCTTGACAGCAGTAATGGATGATTTTCAGCGACGCATCTATCGGGAGCTGCTGTCCTTATGGGCATACGGTGGTCTATGTTGCATAATTCTGGTGTCGTACTGACGTCGCGATGGAGTTCGTTATGGCCAACAGAGCGCTTTCGACAGTTTCCGGTGTGAGAGAGAGATGGAGAGAGCGATAGAGAGACAGAAAGAGAGAGAGAGAGACTTTGATTTTTAGGATATCATTGCCCGCTATGTGTTCGACGGCTTATTTGCCATTATGACTGTTGCCACCGTTTTCTGCCTTACTGGAATGAGTGAGTGGTTTAATATTATTTTCCACTTCCCGCCCGGAGGTAGCATGTTGGCAGGTAAGTTTCGCCGAGATTTTGAAGGCTGGCTGAAAATCGGAACTCCATTCTTGATATGCGATATGTCATTTTGTAGCCTCGGCCTGAATTGTTTCGTGAGCAGGGTCTTGGACCGCCAAAATCAAGGCCGGCCGTGATGCAGGTGATCCAGGAGAACCAAGATTCAAGTCCGAAATGTTTTTCGCAAAATCAGGCAAATCTGTTTTTGTGAGTTATCTCCGATAGAGCAATTTGCATGCGATACCTGTAACACCAATCAAAAGCTCTCGATGAGTAGATGTCGATAAATGTTGAGATCATTAAAATTGAACACAAGATGACCGAGATATGGCCCACTGAAATTTGAATTGAATTGGTGTTAAAGGTATTACATGCAAATAGCTTCTACGCAGAGAAAACGTGCAAAAACACTTTTCGGAGATTTTTTGAAAAACTTCTAGAGTTTGCTTCACGGCCGGCCTTGATTGTGGCGGTCCAAGGCCCTGTTCACGAAACGATTCAGGCCGAGAGCTACAAAATGACATATCGCATATCAAGAATGGAGCTATCTACGATTTTAGCCAGCCTTCCAAAATCTCGGCGACAAGGCAAGCCTTCCAACCTGATACTTGTGTATTCGCGGGGGACCAGTTTTTTCCTATAGGGCAGGTTGGGCGAGTTATCAAATATAAAGGTTTTTCAGTGGTTTTGGTAGAATTTAAGTTCAGTTAGAATGGAACACTTTCTAAAAAGTTTAAAGTTTCTTGAAAATGTTGCACATTTTTGTACAACTCTAGAAATGCCTAGTACCAAAAAAACTCTAAGGTTTCAAAATGTCGAAATTTTGGGAAAATCGCCAATTTTTGGTCGAAAAATCCAGGTTTTTGGGATTTTTTACTACAATTTTGTATGTTTTTCTACGTTTAGGAATAGTAGAAAATCATTTAAAAACACTTCCACTAATTATATTCGAAAAAATTGCCCCCCCTACCCCGCAGATAATGCGAAAGAACCTGGCTGTAAATTACCGCCCGCCGTTCAGCACCGCGCCCATGGCGCCGACCGGAGAATAGCATTCACGTCCAGGGGAATGTTGTCGACGACGTGTGACGAGAGATACGGTAGCCGCATGGAGATATCAAATGCTACAAACTACAACCGTCCACCACATCCCCATCAATCCCTAACCATGATCAAAATCTTATGACCCGACCGTTGCCTTTTCCTTAATTTTCGCGCTCCATACTGTAGCTCTACAATATAAATTTTCAAATTTCGGATTGCGTTGAGATTTGACATAAAATTGACTTGCCATTCAAATATTCTCAATACAGGGTGGTGCATAAAAAAAGTGAAGTTTGCACTGAAATATCTCGCGAACGGAAACGAAGGAACCATCGTTCCCTTGTCAGAATGCTTAAATATGCTGGACATGAAGAAATAACACAAGTTGTTTTTAAGATTTTTGACGACCAGTGGGTCGTTAAAAATTTTGAACATTTTTGAAAAAGTAAAAAACTTTGAAGACGAAAATAATGGAACTTTTTTGGAGTTAGGGGGACATGAAGGGCATCAAAATGAAGCTCTCGGAGTACGCTATCAGACGCGTCTGACCGTCAATAGGAGCGCTCGGAAAATCCGGACTTTTTGGGGAAATAATTCCAGATAAAATTTCGTTACCATCCGATCTTTCTGATATTTTGCATTCACCAATAAATAGTAAACTACTAACTTTTGGCATCAAAATTTTGAAAATCGCGATTAAAAAATTTTTTGGCACTTTGCCAATTCGACGGAATCTGTAAGTTCTAGGCTCCTTTAATTAAAATTATAACATCTTTGGCAAAAGGCATGTAACAAGTACAAAAGCTTTGGGCAGCAAGGTGCTTTTTATGGTCAATTCGGAGACGTCCATTCTGGAACAGTCCTGAGTTTACGAACGCTCCTATGGACGGTCAGTTAAACCTATCAATATTCTTTACCACGCGTCTGATAGCACATTCCGAGAGCTTCATTTTGATACCCTACACGTCCTCCTAACTCATAAAAAGTTCCATTATTTTCGTCTTCAAAGTTTTTTTACTTTTTCAACAATGTTCAAAAATTTTTAACGACCCACTGGTCGTCAAAAATCTTAAAAAAACAACTTGTGTTATTTCTTCATGTCCAGCATATTTAAGCATTCTGACAAGGTAACGATGGTTCGCTTCTGTTTCCGTTCGTGAGATATTTCAGTGCAAGCTTCACTTTTTTATGCACCACCCTGTATTTTATGATGCTCTATCGAATGCCGTCACAAAAATCCCAAAAATGCCGAAAAATATCGAAAAATTTGAGTTTTTTTTGCTCATTGAAACACTTAAATCTACCTGAAACAAAGCTTCCCAAAAATGTTTCATAAAAATTTTCATTTGATTAAATTTTATTTCATTTGACATTAAAAGTTTCATTTGCAAGTTATCTCTGCATAGAGATATAGACATAGAGAGATCTGCATTCAGAGGCCCATATCTCGGCCATCCAATTTTGATGATCTCAACATCTATTGATATCGGTGCTTCCTGGTTATCGGGGGTCGGTTATTTTAGCGGGGTCGGTTGCGAACTTTTTTCTATAATATCGTGCAGCTCGGCTAATTAAAAACTGGCCGTTTTTATAGACTTGCGCGCCGTTTGAAATGGTTCTGGACTGTTAGCGGGGGAGGAAACATTAAGAAAAACGTCATAAAAACATGTTGAAAAAATTTCTTTTTCGGTCTAACGTATATGAAAATGGCTAAAACCGCGCTATAACCCTAGATTTCGTGACTATAGGATAAATATTTTTATAATTTTTGATTATCGGAAGCTACTAAAAACAATATTAAAATAAACTACAATTTATCACTAGGCAGGTATAGGCTAAACGAAAAGAAGATGCCAACCGACCCCCGCTAAAATAACCGACCCCCGATAACCAGGAAGCACCTTGATATCTACTCCTCGAGAGCTATCGATTGGCGCTTAACGTATCGCATGCAAATTGCTCTATGCAGAGATAACTTGCAAAAACACTTTTTGGTAATTTTGTGAAAAACTTCTTCGGCCTGTATCTCGGCTCTCCTTGATTTTGAGGGCTCAGGACCCTCCTCCCGAAACGATTTAGGTCGAGAGCTACAAATGACATATCGCATGTGCAGAATGGAGCTATCTACGAATTCAGCCAGCCTCCCAAAATCTCGGCGACAGAAATTTCGTTCCAACCTGATATATATCTGTTGCTAACAGCCAAATATCAGAAAGATCGGATGGTAAAGAAATTTTATCTGGAATTATTTCCCCAAAAAGTACGGATTTTCCGAACGCTCCTATTGACGGCCAGTTAAACCGATCATAATTCTCTACCACGAGTCTGATAGCGCATTCCGAGAGCTTCATTTTGATACCCTTCATGTCCTCCTAACTCATCAAAAGTTCCATACTTTATCGCTTCAAGGTCTTCTACTTTTTAAAAAATGTTCAAAAAATTTTTAACGACCCACTGGTCGTCAAAAATCTTAAAAAAACAACTTGTGTTATTTCTTCATGTCCAGCATATTTAAGCATTCTGACAAGGTAACGATGGTTCGCTTCGTTTCCGTTCGCGAGATATTTCAGTGCAAGCTTCACTTTTTTTATGCACCACCCTGTATTGAGAAAGAACGTGTTGGCGACTAGAGAATCGCAAAAACAAAAGTACAATCACTTGTTGCATAAACTCCGGCGAATTGAGGGATAGATGTTTGGCTTAGAAATCAGCAGAGATCCAACAATAAGGGTGTAAACTACAAAAACGGCAGAGATCTAGGGGGACACTTTATGCGCCCACACGGGCAATGGCTGCTGGTCGGCGTGATGCCGCGAGCAGGGGACACCACACGTGCTCGTGCAAAAACAAGGACAAAGCGATAATATTCAAGACAGCTCCGAAGATAGTGATTAAGAACACGTAGAAAGTGATGATCACACAAGTGTACACAAAAATTACTGCGCCGGTGTAGGCTACGCGCCAGATGCCAACGGTGCTGTGGTCTTGTAACTGCCGCTTCGGTCGCCCCAAGCAGACCTCCACGGCCTTCTGTATCAGCGCTGCTAAGACCTCTTTTGCCACCTAAAAAGCAAAATAATGCGTCTCCACAAAATTCCGGATTTTCCGCCAGGAAACCAGGGCGGTAAAGGTCGCTTAGGGGGGGGGCGAGAAATAACGGGGGTGGAAACAAAATTTTTGCATTTTTAAAAAATACCAGGGTTGAAGACAAAAAATGAAAAACGCTCCCATCGGCCCTTTATATCAGCTACTGCAACTTCCGGCGTATGCTAATTTTATCCTAACAAAGTGAGTGTCGGAATTTTAAGAAAAGCTAATTTTAATGCCGAAAACAACATCTTTTACAAAATCCGATATGTGTGCCGTCATCTCCAGCCCCCTTACGCATCTAATGACGTATCAAGCACCTCCTCAAACCCATCTCCTCTCGAGATACCCTTTGGACACCCTGACGGAAGTTGCATGCAAATGCACACGCACACGCACACAAACACTATTGTTTTTATACAGGGTTTCCCAAAAAACGAACCGTCTGGCAATTCGCCGTGTTACATCCAATCGGCCCCAAATTTGGACCAGAGGTGTATCAGACCCTAAATAACAACAATCCTGAGTTATAGACCTGTAGCTACAGTAGTTTTCGATAGATACTAGATAGACAGATCCTACTATATATAAAAAAATAGTGTCTGTGTGTGTGTGTGCCACTTTGCATGCAACTTCCGTCAGCGTGTCCGGAGGATATCTCAAGAGGGGAAGGGATGAAAAGGGCTTATGATACGTCATTAGGCGCGTAATGGCCTGTAGATGACTGCACGCATATCAGATTTTGCAAAATCGATTGTTTTCGACATTAAAATTAAGTTTTCCCTTAAAAATTGGACACCCTCTTTGTTAGGAAAAATTAGCATACGCCGGAAGAGGGAGTAGTCTATATAATCAGGGAGAGGACGCGCTTTTCATTTTTTGATATAACAGTGGGGAAGGATTATGTAAAGCGATGGATATCATGGGGTTAGACGGGGCCAGGGTTGAAAAGTCGCGAAGCGAAGGGCAAGTTATAGCGAAAAGTTCTTAAGCGAAATTAGGGATTCGCAGCCGGAAGTCGATGCAAATCGATGCAAAGTCCAAAAAGATAGCCGAAAACTGTTCAGCTTTTCCGGGAAAAGCAGTATTTTTGTTATAACTCAAGAACGACTGTAGCTACAGGGCTATAAGTCAGGATTGTTGTTATTTAGGGTCTGATACACCGCTGGTCCAAAATTTTGACCGATTCAATGTAACAAGGCGAAATGCCAGATGGTTCGTTTTTTTGGGACACCCTGTAGTAGGATAGTAGGATCCTGCTATTTCGAAAGCCGAAACGCCTACAGATAGATCATCGAAAATTATACACAGTGGTTGAATTTCAGTCCGAAAAACCTCATTTTTGACGATTTTTTTATTGGTTAAATATTTTAGCTTAATAAAGTGTATTTTTAAATTATGGTGTTTCGTGCGGACATTAAATCTCTTAAACAATTTTTGATATTCTATCCGATGGTACTGATGAAACCTCGTTCAATCAGCCAAAAATACCGATCATTACGGTCACCTTATACTACGGTATATACTCATAATGCCGATTTTCATAATGCTGACTATTATAACGCCGATTTTCAATGCCGATTTTACATAATGTCGATTTCCATATGCCCCGTATTATAATATCGGTCCTTATGATGTCGATTCCCAAAATGCCGATTTTGCGACTTTTCTTAGGGTGCTATGGTCCTCCCGATGAATCCTAGTGTTTCATATTCCAATTTTTCCCCGAAAGCCGATGCTGTCAATATTCACGCAGCGAAAATACCCTTGAAAATGGTGAAACCCCGATTTTCCGAATTGCCCTAAAGCACAAATCGAAACGATCTTGGAAAATTCAGTCTCCGATACCCGTCAGCTGAAATTGTTTTTATTACAATTTTGTAAGATTTTTGTGTAACAAATCATCGTTAGTAACTGATTAGAAAGACCTGGAATATATTACCAAAATCTATTGTTCGTCGAAAGAAAAATGGCTTAGCACCCTGCGGAAAGACGCAAAATCGGCATTAGGGGAATCGGCGTTATAAGAATCGGCATTATGCAAAATCGTCATTATAGGGTGTCCCATAAAAAAGCATCCCCTCCCGCATTTCGCCATATTACATCCGATCGGCCCCTAAATTGGACAAGAGGTGTATCAGACCCTAAATAACCACAATCCTGACTTATAGCCCGATCGCTACAGTACTTTTCGAGATACAACAAAACAAACTTTCTTAACCGATTTTCATAAAGTTTTCGTCGGAATAGCCCCTTCGAATATTAAGTGAAAATAAAGCGGCAAGCCTTCTTTACCCCTATAAATTTTTTCCTGATAAAAATTAATCAAATAACTGTTGATTTAACAATTTAACAACAATAACAATTTTTGTAACCCAAATTCCCCCGCGATATTCAGTGGAATTATGGATTCGCAGCCGGAAGTCGATGCAAATCGATGCAAAGTCCAAAAAGATAGCCGATAAAACCGTTTAGAATTGCGGGAAAAACAGTATTTTGGCGATAACTCGAAAAATACTGTAGCGATCGGGCTATAACTCAGGATTGTAGTTATTTAGGATCTGATACACCTCTGATCCAAATTTGGGACCGATCGGATGTAACACGGCGAGATGCCGGAGGGGTGCTTTTTTGGGACATCCTGTATAATAGTCGGCATTATGGAAATCGGCATTATGGAGGTAACTCGGTTATACCTCATGGACAGCTCATAGCATTGTTGTTTTAATAACGAATTTAAATTGCATTATTTCGGGCCGAAATGGATTATCCTAGTATATGTTTCGACGCTCTGTCCGATGGTATGCTAGAATTGGCACGACAGGGGGAAAAGGGTTTCCACCCGCGTTATTGGCTCCCCCGTTAGGCAACCTTTACAACGAAGGCTACTTACATCGTTTTCCGACACGGGCAACCAGATGTTTTCATAGAGGTGCTGGGCGAATTGAACTAGCCATCTGATCAAGGGATCCTCTCCCAGCTCCTTAATCCACGTTCATTCCCGTTTAAAAGGTTGGCAGTACCTGTGCAAATGCCTTAGCATAGGGCGTGGAATGGCTCACCGCGGGACTTGTCGTACCGTAGCTCGTAGGTATCTAAAAATGCAGAATTGTCATCCCCTTTAAATTGTCTACAGTACCATAAAGAATCTGCGTGACGCGGAATGTTCCGGCAAATCGACTGTACTCGGCCCTGTAGCGGATGGATTTTGAAGCTAAAAATCAACCTTGTCAATCCCTTTAAAATTGTCTACAGTACCCGTTTCACGACTTGGCCCTCCGCTGTGATGTCATTCGGAGGCAGTGGAATTGGTGCTGGTACCGGAGAAGAAGTAGTGCCCACATTTTTCATCTGAAATTCAACCTTGCCAATCCCTTTAAAATTGTCTACAGTACCTCTTTCACGTCTTGACCCTCCGCTGTGATGTCATTCGGAGGCAGTGGAATTGGTGCTGGTACCGGAGAAGAAGTAGTGCCCACATTTTTCATCTGAAATTCAACCTTGCCAATCCCTTTAAAATTGTCTACAGTACCTGAATATCTTTCCTGCCCACGTCATTTATTCGTTGTTTCGCCCTGGCGAACAGCTCTTCCACTTCATTCTTGGCGTGATCTGGACCCGCTGCCGCCAAGGCAGCTAGCAGAACCCATATCGCCCATGCATTCATGGCTAAATAATAGAATGATCGTTCTCTGAGCACGCATTTCGAGGCATTTCTTTCGGTACGTTGCGGATAAAAAAGACACAAATCCAATAAATATCAATATATCTTTATTCAAATAGACATTAACAATAATTAATCACACATAAATGCACTCAAAACTATTCAAACATTTTAGGTTCTTGACGGACGTCGGTAGTTGATCAGCTCCTCCTCCGAGCCGCTCGAGCCGTTCAGCCGGCCGAAGGAGTACGGTAGTCGGCCTGAAAAGAGAAAATAATACATTAATTCAGAGCAAAAATCAAAAATCCACGGGCTAACAGCCTTCAACGGTCCTTTAAAAACAGGTAGCGCACCTGCTTATATGCTCCTTTAATTGGCTCCGGCTCAGCTGCTCCCTCACTATCGCTGTCCCTCTCGTGCTCGCTCTCTCGCCGCGGTCTCTGAAATTGGTCTATTAGTGTCTGCAGCTCCCTTTCCTCACTTCAACTGTCCTTTAAAATTCTTAATTTTCAATTTTTGCTTAAAAAAGCATGTTTTCTCAATTGCTAAAAACCGAAAAAATAATATGATTCAAAAAATTGAAAAACAAACCTTTCAAAAAGGTTTTAATTTTGATTTAAAAAACCGTCATGCATGCCGCGCCATGCTGTAGATGGCCGACGTCTTCAAGACGTTCAGGCGCGGCCGGTGCGCGGTCGTCGTCGCCTGTCCCTCTCTCGCGCGCTCTCTCTCGTGGTCCCTCTCTCGCCTCTTTTCTCTCGCCGTGACACCTGAAATTGTGTAATTAGTGGGGCCCGTTTCCCCCTTTCCACACTTCAACCGACCTTTAAAATCGTCAATTTTGAGTTTTTGCTTCAAAAATCGATGTTTCATAAATTGTCAAAAAACCGAAAATCTGCAATTTTTGAAAAATACCAAAAATACAGTTTATAAACATTTTTAGAAGCCATTAAAAATCGATTGGCCCAAAATAGTTGAACTTCCCGGCGTATTCCTTCTCGGTGTCCATCTTCTTCGGCTCGGTAGATGTCCAGATCGACCTCGTTGAAGACGTCGGCCCGCGTTCCTCGTCGTTCGCCACCCGGTCATATCTAAAGTGGCGGAGAAGAAAAAGCAATCGACGACTAACCGCCACTCTCGCTCCAATCAGTAGAAGAACGACATCAGCAAGCCCTTCAGCTGCTGGGGGCCACGGTGAGCGTCGTCTGTCCTTCTCCCTCGCTCTTCCCGTCTCTCTCGTCCCCTTTCTCTCGCCGCGACACCTGAAATTGTGCTATTAGTGTGTGCATCCCCCTTTCCACACTTCAACAGTCCTTTAAAATCTTTGATTTTGAATTTCGGCTTGAAAAACCCATGTTTCATCAATTGCTAAAAAAACGAGAGAATAATAATATTTTGAAAAATCTGCAAAAAATCAAAAATACAGTTTATGAAAATTTTAAAATCCTTTAAAAATCGATTGGCCCAAAAAACTTCTCGGCGTCCATCTTCTGGGTCTCGGTAGATGTCCAGATCGACCTTATTGGAGACGTCGGTCCGCGTTCCTCGACGATCCCCATCCGCTCACAGCCAGTCGGTCATATCTAAAGTGGCGGAGAAGAAAAAGCAATCGACGACTAACCGCCATTCTCGCTCCAATCAGTAGAAGAACGACGTCACCAAGCCGTTCAGCTGGTCGGGGCCACGGTGTGCGTCGTCTGTCCTTCTCCCTCGCTCTTCCCGGCTCTCTCGTCCCCTTTCTCTCGCCGCGACACCTGAAATTGTGCTATTAGTGTGGTCCGTTTCCCCCCTTTCCACACTTCAACCGCCCTTTAAAACCACATTTTAAATTTTTGCTTGAAAAAAATGTTTCATATATGTATCAAAATCGCGAAAATAATATCCAGCCAAAAAAATTTCATTTTTAAATTTTTTCAAAAATCGCCTTTCAAAAAAATGTTTCATCACCTATTAAAAAGTGCGCAAAATTGGCTTTTCAAAAATTTCGGCGAAAAATCGGTGTTTCGGGTAAAATAAATTTCAATTTGTTTCGAGGGCTGCGACTTCATCCACCTGACTTCCCGGGCCCTTTAAAATAAAATTGATTCGCCTCGCTTCTCGCTTTGTCTTTTGCCTGATGCTTCAGCGACGGCTTCGTCGGCTTGGACGGCTTGAACGGCTACGTCGGCTTCGTTGGCTCCGTCGGCTTCGTCGCCTGATCGGCCGCTGGTCCTACCTAAAGTCTTTCGGGGAATCAAAGCAAGAGCAACGACTAACCGCTCAATTTCCATCTCGCAACTCCTTCCGCTTTCCGGCTTCTTGTCTTCTTCTTGTCGACCCCACAGCCCAACGCGCATCGTCCTGAAAATTGACAGTTAAAAAAATTGTGTTTCAAAAACTTATAAAAAACAGCAAAAATTTGATTTTCCCAATTTTTTGGGCAAAATTAAATGTTTTCAACTAAATGCAGAACGTTTATTTAAAATTTAAAGAAGTAAATTTAATTAAGAAAGTAATTAATTTAACTTAAGAGCTGATTTAATTCCCTATTAAATTAAATTTAAGATTTAGTTTAAAATTTAAAGACTTTTAGTTCATTTTTAAACTACCCGCTGATTTTCGCGTCTACAAAAAAATTGTTTCAAAAAATCCCAAAAAGCGCCAAACTGATTTTCTCACTCTTCTGGGGGCAAAATTCAAAGCTTCAAATTAATGGCTCTCGTCCGCGCGGAATTTTGAATTTTTTAAAAAGTGTGTTCGAAGAATCATAAAAAGCCCAAAAAAATTTCTTGCTCAATATTTTCAAATTTCATAATTTTTTCGCGAAAATTTCATAATTTTTCGGGATTTTTAAACGTTTTCTCGACACCGTCCTTCGATCGATACCTGACTGCCCGGTCCCTTCAAAAGAATATTAGATCCTACAATTCCAGATGTTCGACTTCTGCTTCTTCTGCTTCTTCAGCACGGCTTCAACTTCTCAGCTTCATCTGCTCGCTTCTCGGCTTCTTCTTCTTCTTCACGGCTTCATCTGCTCGATCGCTTCTTCTGCAGCTTCTCCACCTCCTCATCAGAGTCATCCCGTCTCGATATATCTAAATTTAGTCCGGGGAAGAGCCTTATGGTCACGACTAACCGCCACAACTCCTCATTTCGCCTTGCTGTCGCTGCCGCCATCGTCGCCCTTGCCGAACTCGTCCTGCTGCTTCTTCCTGAAATGCAGATATTAAAATAGGCAACAGATAGGGGCTACCGTACCAAAAATGCCCCCATTTCCAGGCGTATTTTGTATTCTCCCGTAGCCTACGCAGGCAGCCGACTGGCCGGCTATCATTAATGCGCGCCCTCCGCCGCTAGCGTACGTCCACTACGCGTTACACCTCATGACGCTACCGATAAAACCGTTCGAGCGCCTATCAAACCCCCAGAGTTCGTCTTTTTTTTCGCGCGTTTCGGATTTCGCGATCTAAAGTGGCTGTTTTATAGCAATTTATCGCTTAAAAATGTATTATTGCCCCCGTTTTTCGAGTGTTGCCATTAATGCGCTTTCGCGTCGCTACGGTATCCCGCTACGGTCATTACGCACTACAACTACTGACAGTGATGGCTAAAAATGACCCTACTGTTAACAATTATCCAATTTTTAAACTTTTAAAACCCAGAAACCCCAAATAAAAAGTATATTATCCCTGAATTTTGCGCGTGCGACATTGTTAAAACAGGAAACCCCAAATAAAAGTCATTTTATTACCTATACTTCGCGAGCTTTCCCTCGATCGCGTCGTCGTGCGCGTCGTGCCCTCCTCTCGTACCGCCACATCAGCCGTCAGCATCGTCACATCATCATCGCCGTCGGCGTTGTCGTCGCCACACTAAATAAAAAACGGGGGCGGCGAAGTAAAATCAAATCACTAACCGCCATTCTGCTGCCGAAGACGTGCTGAAGTCGTCGTTGGGGCCGGCGGCTGAAGAACGTCTCGTTGGACTGCTGAAAAATGGGTCTTTGAAAGATGAAAGCCCGGAAAGTGCATGAAAAAATCAGAAAAATGATTTTAGAAAAATAGGAATGAAAGAAAAAGGAATGAAAGCTGCCGGCGGCGACCCTGAGCCCGGAAAAGTGCCTTTCAACATTGAAAACTAGTAAAAAAAGTTTTAAAATAGGTAAAAAAGCGAGAGAAACCGCGAAACCCCTCAATTGAGAGACTAAAGAAGAGAAAAGAGAGAACGAAACTTTTTAAAAGCTTTTGGGTAGAGCGGCAGGGGCAAAAGAAAGCTTTTAGCAAAACTGAAAAATCGGAAAAAAGTACAAAAAAACGTAATTTTTGCCTTTTTAGCGGCCGGATTTACTGGGAGAAAAGCACGGACAAAGGACAAAACACTATAGAAACATTTTTAGACGGGTTTCACGTTTTTCGGCGTATTTTTCGACATTTTAATCGGATTTTTGGTACATTTTTAGGCCCGGAAAGGGCGGGACCAGGGTCGTCTCTCTTGATTGGGAGGGTCGAGACCGTACTGTCGCGTCGGGCTGGCTTGGGCGGCTTGGTCGGCGGCAGGCTTTTCCTGGAATTCTTGCCCTTTAAAGCGTATTTTTGGGTTAATTAACGTTTTTTGATAAGTAGCAAGCTGCGCCGGCACTTAAAATGCTTTAAAAACGCGAACAAAGTGTGGTATTCTCCATTTCCATTAGATTTTTATCTATTCCACTCTCTCCACGATTTTCGGCTAGTTGGTTAGGATTGTAGTTTTTCATTAAAAAAATGTTTTATATTTTCCAGTTCCACTAGGTTCTTCGGATTTATATTCTCCGATTTTCGGAATTTTTTTAAAATTCGTTTTTTGGTTGAAAAAAATGTTTTATGTTTTCCAGTTCCACTTGGTTTTTCGGATTTACACTTTCCCCTGATTTTTAACGGTTTTCAAATTGCTTTTAAACACCAAAAACCGCTTTTCCGGCTTTCGGCTCCCTTTTTATTACTTACTCCATTTTTACCTTTTTTCAATTGCAATTCGGTGCTTTCGTCGCGATTTTTCTTTTTTTTGATTTATTCATGCTTTAGTTCTGTTTTACAGGTTCCGCTCCGCCCGACTCCGTGACGCGCGCCTCAGCGAAGCTTCCGATGGGCCGCGACGACGATGACGCCGGCGACAAGCTGCTGCACTATAAAGGTTAGCGATTAGATTGCCACTTCTCGGCCCGAGCTCGAATTTAGTGACCACCTACTTGACGATGACGCTGATGTGGCGGCTCGAGACGGCGGTAGCCAACGCGGAGGACGACGCGTGGCAGCGATGGAAGCGACTCTGAAGCGTTTGCGGTAAGAAAATGGCTTTTATTTGGGGGATTTTCGGTTTTAAAAATGTCGAAATTGCAAAATTGTTAGATACGATCACTTTTATTTGGGGTTTTTGCGTTTTAAAGAGTTCAAAATTTGAAAATTGTAAGCATTAGGGCCGTTTTAGGCAGCGTCCGTAGTTGTATTGCGTACTGGCCGTAGCGGGATACGGTAGCGACGCGAAAGCGCATTAATGGCAACTTGCGAAAAACGGGGGCAAAAATGGATTTTTTGGGCGATAAATTGCTAAAAAACAGCCACTTTTGATCGAGAAATCCGAAACGCGCGAAAAAAGGGCGAAATTTGATATTTTATAGGCGCTCGAACATTTTTTGTAGGCGGTGTAATGAGGTGTAACGCGTGGCGGCGACAGAGCGCGCATTAATGATAGCCGGTCACTGCGTAGGCTACGGGGGATACAAAATACGCCTGAAAATGGGGGCATTTTGGGTACGGTAGCCCCTATATGTTGGCTATTTTAATATTTGGTATTTCAGGAAGGAAGGAGCAGCACCACGAGTTCGGCAGGGGCGAGGGCGGCGACGACGATGACAACGAGGCGAAATGGGGATTTATCGCGGTTAGTCATGAATATAAGGTTCTTCCCCGGACTAAATTTAGATATATCGAGACGGGATCAAGCGGGTAGAACCTGAAGGATGAAGCCGGGCCGAGAAGACGACAGGAAGACGTGGACGGTTCTGACGAACGACGACGGTACGACGACGGTGCTACATATAAAGAAGCGGACGAAGACGAATCTGGAATTGTAGGTTTTAATATTCTTGTAAAGGGACCGGGCAGTCAGGTATCGATCGATCGACGGCGTCGCGTGGATGGCCCTTTAAAAAACCCGCAATTTCCCAAAAACTACTAAAATTTTTGCTTTTTGACGCTTTTCATAGAGTTTTAAAACAGAATTTGGCCAAAATTGTTTTAGTATTCGATTTTGGGGCTTGCGGGAGGGCGAAAGAATTCGAGGGCTTTTTACAATTTGCTTAAAGCACTTAATGCCCTCGAAAAAACCCAAGTTTGACGATTTTTTGCGCCGTGCAGCAGGCCGGGGCAGTTTTAGACCTGAAAAAACCTCTCGTATTTCCACCTGGTTTTAGGGCCGCATTTTGATTCTAAAAACACGCAAAAAAAGCCGGGTAAAAGGTTGATTTTTTATGTATATCAATATATTTTGTGCCCCTAAAAAAGTATTTTGACCTTTTTGGAACGGCAAATCTACAAAAACTATGGAAAAATGCAATTCCGGTATCGAGATTTGGCTAAAACGATGTATTTGCGCGTTGAAAAACGAATTTTGACCCTTTTTTGGGACGGCCAAGCTTCAAATCAACTGAAAACCCGTGCGAAACAACCGAAAAACTATACCAATAGCAAATATTTCAAGCAAAGCTACTTTATCCGGATGCTAAGCCCATTTTAGACCGCAGATTTGCGCGATACCGCCGGCTTCAGCGACCAATGGACGCAGGGCCCGCCCCACCCGCCCTCTCTCTCGGCGCCCGCCTCCCATTCACCCCCGGCTGTCACCTAAAAACCCCTTTTCTGTCGTTTCCCCCGCAAATCATCGCGCGAAAAAGTGCAAATCGTTCCAAAGAGCCTCAAAAAGACTTTTCCCCCCTCATTTGCTGCGTTTCCCGCGATTACCACGCAGGAGAAGGGCCAAAACTGCCCAGTTTTCTTTTTCAAACCGCTTTTACGATTCCTAACGTGAAAAACGCTGTAAAAATTCTATTAAAAATACATCATTCGATCCTTGGACCACGAAGTCTCAATTTTCGACGAGAATTACCTTTTTAAAGCGTTTAAAGCTTAATAAGTAGTTTTCGACTTGACATCCGGCTGACTTTTGCTTGAAAAAGACTATAAAACATTTGCCATGCCTATCTGAACGTAGAAAACGCTCAAAAATTAGATTCTTTGACTAAAAATGAATTTTCCTTCATAAATTACGTTTTTTAGATGCGTTAATGATTTCTAAGGATTTTCGACTTGAAATTTGGCTGAAT